GTGTGTGTTTGTGTTTGTTTATGAGCTGTTTGCATTCAAACAGGTGTCTTTCAGGCTGATATTCAAATCGTCCCAGGGGCCTGGAGTTTGTCTCACTGCGATCATCCCCTGAAGGCATAGAGACCAGCCAGGGTCCATTAACAGGCCCCCCTGTGTGAAACCTAATCCACTATCTCTACTGATGCGTGTCTGGATAAGATTCTCACACACAAACAACCACAGCGAACAGAGGAAAGTTCCTCCTCCCGTGCTCGGCGGAGCTGTAGGATCAGTTTGCTTTCAGGAGGAAGTGATCGCCACAAAAGTGTCAGGGGTGAAAGGGGACTGAGGGTTATCTCCAGGTGACATCTTGACCTGATCTCTGTCCTCACCTCTCCAGAGTCGGCCAATTAGACCTCTCCTTTCTTTCAGCAGGGATTTGAACGCTGGCCGGTAACTTCCTGCCACTTCAAGTTCTATTTTTAAACATCTTGAAGCTTCACGCCTCGAGGCAGAAGTAAATTAAAGCTAAGAAATGAATCATACTTAAGATTAGCAGCTTGCAGTGAGTGATACAGAGGAGGGCAGTGAGATCTAGAACGCTCTTTTTCTACAGATGCTGCTCCTCCTGCATTATGGAAAACCATAGAAAGGTTTTCTGATAGTGTTTTAAAAAGAAATGTGGAAGATCAGTTCCTTTTTATTAACCAAGGTGCCCTTGAAAAATAAACCGAGTGAAGATCTATGGGAGGTGTGGTGCATCAGGAGTTTAAATCTCTCTAGTGCTGTTCCAGTGCTTTTCTCTGGTTTGGCTCTCCTTTCATTTTCGTCCTCTATTTTCTCAAAGGACAACATCTGTCTTTATACTTTATCTGTTTCAGTAACTTAATAGTTCAATCTTTCCAATGACCGTATATATGGAATTATTGAAGGATTCAATTTAACAAGTTTAACAAGAACATAGAAACTATTCCAACAGCTCTATGAAGAATCTGACACCCATAAGCAGATAGTGTACCAGTTCGTTGTCCTTCATAGCACATTGCACAACACCTGCAGCTCATGAAGCATTGCTAAGCTCACATTCTGCATTGCTCCTCAGGATATTATTTGTCCTACATTTCAGCTCTTGTAGACGATTGCCTCTTTTCTATATTGTGATTAAGTTTTAGGCTGAGGCCTCTTGTTTGTCTTTAACAACCTGTACAGAGAAGGGAAACAAAGCAGGGGTTTCTCAAGGCAGTGTTGTACACACAGCTGGTATAGCTCCTTATGAGGGGTCACATATATGCGTGTGTGTGTGCTGTAAGGGGGAGCTCACATATTCTATTTCCAGAACTGGTCCTGAGCTACTTTAATCCCCTTGCCTTGTCTCTATTGCCGTGGGCACAAGAGAAAGAAAGACCCCCCTCTCCCTCCTCCCTCAGGTTTGCCCACCCCGCCGTGGGTTGCTGCCTCTATCTTGCTGCGATTGAGTTGCAGGTTGACTGAAAATAGACTGTGAAAGGCTGAATCTTTTCTGTCAGGCAGACAGAGGGGTTTTTAGAGACAATCTCAGCTGAGAAGACAGCTCTGCGAGTGCTGCGCTACGGGGGTAGGAAAAAAAACTAGACTCAGGCATTTGAGGGAGGTAAGACCTCATACTGAGTGTGTGTGATCCTGTGAATGAACATGCAGTCATGTGATGTTTGCAGCTTTTTTAGCTCATTTGATATCTTTTTTTTTCATTTTCTTTGGTTCTCTCAACTAAAGAATATTTATATATTTTAATATGCATTTTCAGAATTATGAAACATAACCCAAAAAGTCTTCTACTTTAGTAATTGAACCTTAAAAGTGAATTTTTAGAATCTACACACAAATCAAAGAGTTTGTTGCTGTTATTTTTTTCTTAAGAAGGTTAGCCTTGAGGAATAAAAAAATATTTTTTACTAAAATGTTGGTCTAATTAACTGTATCTCAGTGTACTCTACAGCAGTGGTTCCCAGCCCTGGTCCTCTTCCCCGTACATTCTGAAACTGTCTCTGTTCCAGAACAGAGAATTTTAATTGCATGACATCCAGAGCTGTAAATGCCTGTTAATCACATTTCAATTGAGACATAAAGAGATGCCTAAAACATGCAGGACGGGGGTCCTTGAGGGACTAGATTGGGAACCACTTCTATATTAACTTTATTTGTACTGCTTTCCCATAAAATGCTGCATTGGAGGAGCTGCAAGCATGTAAAGGGAGCCCAGGATACCTTATCTCTACCTTAATGTTGCTTTGCTGACTTAAGGAAAGACAATACGCTCTAAAGAAACAACAGAAACTGACATGAAAGTGGCCCCCTTTTCTATAACTTTTTCCTTTCACTAGATTTTCCAATATTTAATTACTGCTTACATGGCTTATTATCCTTGTGGATGTTGTCTGTTAAACAAGGTTTACTAACAATCTTCCTCATGTTTCTGTTATACCAATTTAAAAAACAAATTTCTGTCATTTTTTAAGTTTTTTTTTTTTATTTTCAATAGATTTGATGTTAGCTTTTAGCCTGTAAAATATGAAAATGTTCATTTCTATAATTGAAACGGTGAAATATCTTTACTCTCCATTGAGTAAATCATTTACTTCCATATAAAAGTCTTGAGCAAAACTCTAAAAATCTGATTGTGTTTAAAATTCTCTGTACGACTGTGGAAAAAAAATCCATGAAGAGCAAACCAGGCGCTGATTATACAGCTTGTTAGAGTAAAATCTGCTTTTTTTTATGGATTCGTCAGTCAAGATGCTGCAGGTATTTCAAACCCACCCAAATCCTTTCATTCTCAAATTCTACTCATATTCCCAGAGTTCCTGTGACTCTCCAAATGACACGGTGAATTACATACAGCCACATGGAAATATGGAAGAAAAATAACATTTTGAATTTTCTGTGTCAGGTGATGGAGAAGCTTCTTGTTAGGAGTATTTCTGTCAATGGAGGTGCAGCATGCAGTAGCTCCAAGCAGAAATATATAAGTTGTGTTTTCTTTTTTTTACATACTGATGCCGTTAATCAGGACTTGAAATTCTGCACTGTTAGAGTTTAGAAAATATGAAAAAAGAAGCCTGGAGCTACAGCAGCTCATGTACCCCTGTGAGAACACCAATATGAAGTTCTGTAGAACTCTAAGGGAGTTTTTTTTTTTTAACCTGTAGCTGAAAGGTCTAATGAAAAATGCTTAGTTGCATTATGCAGATACATGCATTAGCACAAAAAAGAGACACCTGTAAAGTGGAAATATCTGCAACTCCTAAAATGAATTTTTTTAGGGGGCGGAATGATTAGATTTTACTTCCTGAAATTAGATTTTATTGCAGTAAACATACAAATCAAGCTTAAGCTGTACACCTACAATGTTTAGTGCATCATTAATTTTACTAAGTTACAGTAATTTGAGTAATTTTTTGAGAAAAATTTGCTTTTAAGGAGCAGTTTTACTGCACCATACTTTTTACTTCTACTTGAGTAATATCTTAGTAAAATACCACTACTTTTACTTGAGTAAAATGTTTGGCTACTCCATCAATCATTATTAACTTCACTGAATAACAGACAGGCTTGTTAAAAAACAACAGTTAATTTTTGATTAAAAATGATTGTTCCTATTTTTGTATGCAGGCTTACCTAAACCTACCCTGACATTTGACAGTTTTATGTTAAAATGAAAATCTCTTTGGAAAACTCTTTGTTCTGTCTGGAATTGCTACCTTCAGTTTGGATATTTCTTTATTTTCATTGTTTTATTATAGTCTTTAATATACCAGAACGTGCACACAATTATAACATTTTTCCCTTACATTATTACATCATTTTAAACATCATTTGTATTGATGAGTTACTGGAGTAGAATTGTTTTTTAGTCTTAAATTGATTAATTTATCTAGGCTTGCAATTGTCTGAGACTGACCCCTACATTGACAATTATCAACAATAATCTTGCACAAATAAAAAAAAAGTAAATGAAAAGTTTTTGGAAAAGTCTTTGAATTTATTGTACACTATCAAATCTAGCTTTAAATGTGACATTTCCAGGGAAAGTACTGACTAATACAGTAAGTAAAGCTTCAACATCCTTATTTTATGCAAGGAATGTGAGGTTTTTCTATTGTATATCCAAGAGAGCTAATTTCTTCCTTAACGTAGCTAACATTTTCAGTCAGATGACTTTTAACAAGGCCTAACAGTTATTTCATGAAATAATGTTTCTTTTGTCTTGAGTCTCATCTAGTGATTGAGATTCTATCCTACAACCAGAGTGTGTGGCTGTTATGCCAGTTTGTATTGATCTAGCCGACTTGTACAGTTGTTATTTTGTAATAAGGTAGTTATATTGACTAGTTTGTAACCATTTAATGTGTTGCATTTGGTCATTTTGAAAGTTATGATGTGTCTGATCCATATTTATCCTTTCTGGGAGCATCATTTAGGCAGTTCAATAATTTGCTTCCTCTGGCCTTTCACTTTTAAAAGAAGGCCTCATCAGGATGTATTTTATCAAAGCCTTTTTTAAACAGAAAGTATCAGGCAGCAGCTGAAGTTGTATTTAAAAGCTACACTTTGCTCTGCTATGGCAACAAGTCCTGCCTCTTACTCTGCTGTGCTGTTAAATTTTGCAGCGTAGCTGTGCTAGTACCGAACATTTCGGAGCCAGCGGGCCTGGTTTGGGGCATGAATAAAAGAGTTTCTGGGTTTGAGTGGTGCTGCATCCTGCTGCGCCAGATTTAGATTTTAAACAGGGGAGGGACAGGAGGGAGGAAATAGACCACAAGACCATTAAAAAAAGGCCAACTGGGACTGCTGAAAATTCAGATCATGTAGTTTCTTTTATTTCTTCTGAAGTGTAGTCAATTTGTTCAAACTCGACATGTCTGTTTTGTGTAATGTGTTCTCCATTGCATCATTTATCTAGTGCAGCAAGAAGAATAATGTATCTGGTTTTGTGTTCAGAGGTGCTGCTTTTTTGACCTTTCGGTGTGTCTTTGTGTGTGTTGATGTTTCAGCTAAATTCTCCGATGAACTCGGTTAGCAGCACGGAGGATATTAAACCTCCGCTGGGACTCAATGGCGTGATGAAGGTGCCCGCTCAGCCCTCAGGCACGGCCCTGTCCCTGACTAAACACATCTGCGCCATCTGTGGAGACCGCTCCTCAGGTGAGTGACATCAAAACAGCTGTCTATAGAATTCAACTGCAGTTTAATAAATGAGAATATTATTAAAAGTTAATTTTTTTTAGTTTAGTAAATCATTGGAAGTGATGTTGTTATCCATGCATGTTAATCCGGAAATTGAGTGGAAGGAAACAATCCAGTGGAAACTTCCTCAGGCAACAGCCATAACTGAAACCTTGAGAGGGTTTGCTAAAAGAAAAGCCTGTTGAAGTGTTGGAAGTTAATTCAAATGGCAAAGAATGTTGGTGGAAAATATACAATTGGAAAATTGTGTGGAAGGTAAAGTGTTACAGAAAAAATTGTAAAAGAAACACAGATATTTGCAACTTACACTTAAAAGTTTAGATTTACTAGACACTTGGGTTCGTGCTTTAAGAACCACATGACATACAGATCTAGGACTTTGTCAAGAATTGGTTTGAATAAAAAACATTTTCTTTGAAACACTGCTGTCACCATCATATACAGTGTATTAATTATACAGTTAATCGATTTTAGCAAATGTACTAAACCAAGCAAAGTGAGCAATCAGCTCACTTTGCTTGGTTTAGTACAACACACTCTGGAGCTTTTATTTAGAATTAAATATTTTGATCTAACAAAAAATAACCTTTGATCTCAAAGACTGAATTTTTTTAATGCACATTTTTAAGTGTCGTCAGAAAAAGTTCTTAGACAAAAAAAACTTCATTTCTTACAAAAAAAATTCTTACTTTTGTCTATAGAAAAGTGACTTCTAAAAAAAAAAGAAAAAAAAAAAAAAAGAAAGAAAAACTTGATTTGAAGCTTGGATCAAATTATATCTTTTTAAATTTGCTTTATAATAATATTGTTAGGCTAAATACGATGACCAGAGAGAACAACTAGGCTGTCACATTGAAAGCATGATCTGGTTGGCCAAAATTAGCTCTGTTTTTCCCGGGAAAAGCTCTGTTTGCCATAAAATGTGAAATGAGAGATGGAAATGCATTCGGCATAAAGGTGCTGACGTAGCAGAAATTTACCTTCAATGAGTGATTTGCTGTTTTCCCATGTTTGGAGCATGTCATTGCTGCTTGCCTGTTAGTAAATGCTGATATCACAGAACAATAACAACTTGCCTGATAGCAACAAATTGCTGAAAACGTCTCCCTGGTCTTCAAGTGCTCCATGCTAATTATAGCCAGTACTTCCTGTTTATTATAGCAATATGTTACATCAACTTCTGAAAACATGATGTTTTGTGTAGCCTGGTTAATTTGCTATATACCAGTTGATGGAAAAAATGCCTAATTCTCGTTTTTCTTTATTGCAGTATTTTAAACGTTTGCTTAAATTAGATGGAAACAGATCAATGGTCTTCTGTTCAGGAGTGGGTTAAAAAGATTGCAGGAACTCAGCCAATTTATTTGCCTAAAGACTTTTTCGCTACTGCATTTTTTTCCTTTTATCTTTATAAATGTTATGCCTCGACAAAGTTCACTGATAACAGTTCTCTTTAGCAACAACCTTTGGTGGCTTACACTCCATGTGCAGGGAGTGGGTGACTGATTGCTGGACCCTTTTCAAGTCAGCATTATTATTAAGACCATAACATCCTAATAATATAACACATGTGCCAGAAAAACATTCATTGGTCCAATGTTACGTCAAAACTTTGCAAGAAACAGAACTGTGTTTTTAGCTTTGGATTGTATTCAATTTAAAAGAAAAAAAATGACCCTAACATTAAGGTTATGCACTAATTATATCATTATATGCTGTTGATACCAAGAAAAGTCTGAGCAATCTGTAAACAGCCTGGATGACACCATATCTCATTATTACCTAATTAAAAGAAAGTCAGACTACCCCAAATCTTGCTTAATCCTTCTGGAGCCACACTGAAAAAAACCTCCTAAGGAGATCTAAACACGATCTTTGGAAGAGAGCAACCCAACTGACCACTCTGGCAGAACTACACACTGCCGCTTCTTGCATTGGGACTCCTGCTGGAAGGACATCAGTCAGTGTAATTCTTCAGAAATCTTGACTATGCAGTAGAGAAGCCAGAGTTACACCAGACTTGGGTTAAAGCACATGAAGGCTGCAGCATTAAAGGTGCTTAAGAAAAGACATAAATCATGAGTCAAAAGATCATATAGTTAGAGGAAACCAAACCTCGACTAAGCTTCTGCTGAAATAGAGAAATGCTGTGTGTGCGGGAGAGCATGCACAGGCCAACGGCGATCTCATTACTGCAAGACATTCAACAGAGCTGCAGCTGGAGGCAAATGCAAACAGATTTCCATAATAAAAACCAATTGGATCAAATAGAAATATATTATTGTTCAGAGCTGAATACAAAATATAATAAACATTGATCTATTATACGTTTTATACTAGATGACATCATTTTTGCACAAACTCTGCTTAAATGTAGCTTTTAAATTGAAGGTGTAAAACATTAAAGAGGCGGTTATACATATGATGTGTCAGTGGCATCTTTAATATCACACTGGGTTGGTCTTCCTGCTCAGATTTCACTTTTCAAATCATAGCCAGCTCTGTGAGTTGAAGTTCAAAATTGAAACGTTCAAAGGGTTGTTTGTTGGGCAGTTATTGAAATCTCGGATAAAACATCTTCCATCCAAAGTGATGATAATCATGGGGGGGAATTAACTCAGCCGCTTCAACCAGAGGAATATCTAAGAATTAATGATTGTACGCCAAAGAAAATAACTTCCTGGAGTTTTTCCTTTTTTCAACTGTAAACAAACAGATTTCTTTTCTCCATGGATGACTTGAAAAACTTTTAACCTCAATGTTTAGGTGAATTTTGCTGTCATCCCGCATCATTGGCGTTTGCTTGCAGCTAATTGGGGAGGGGGGAATCAAAACAGTGTTAAATAGCAAGTCATGCTTCATTTGGCTTTGCTCAAAGGCTTTATTTATCTTCTCTGGTGGTCTGAGCTGCAGAGATTGAACAAAGAAACAGTTTGAACAACACTGAGGATGGCAAATGGGTTCCATCCATCATAAAATCACAAAAGAAGTGAGAGAAAGGTGCAGACATGAGAACAGGGACCTGGTACAAGTGGTCTTCAGTGAGTTGTTGTTTCCTTTCACAACCCTAATATAAACTAAGAACTTAGAGTTTCTTAACTTTGATAGAACAATAAAGTAATTGCCAAACTACAGTTCCCCTATGCCACTCACTTCACTAAAAATTAGCTCTTTATTTATTTACTTTGTACTGTATGTAATCCCAACTATACATAGCTCTAATAAGTTGGTTGGGGTTCGCTGACTGTTTTTGCATTTTTTGAGCACCGCTTGAGTGCAGCAGTTCCTTTTAATTATTTATTCAAAACCCTCTGTCACATAAATGTGCAGATTTAGAGAGCAGCAAGACAGATGTTTTTGCCAAATGTGCAAAACAGATGTAATATCCATATGGTGCAATGTGTTAAATGTATATGCATTCAGTCCCTTTATGCAACAGCTGTAATTATTTTGGGCTAGGTCTCTAGTAGCAGTTTACATCTAGTGATGAATACTTTGATGGTTTTTCTTATCAGAAAAGCCAAAGTTCAGTCAGACTGGATGGAGAGCATCTGTGAGTAACAGTTGTCAAATTCTGTGATGGATTACTGATTAGGTTGAGGTCACTTTAACATCTACAGACTTTAATCTAAACTGTTCTATATAGCTGCTGAAAAAAGCATCCCTACAACACAGGGGGCTTTAATTATAGTTTGGTGCAGTGAATTCTCTAGCCATGGAGCTACACTGGAAATCTGTTCAAGTTTTCAAAATAAAGAGAGCTGAGTAAGCGACAAAGATCAGAAAACCTTCTAATGCAATAAATAGTTTTCCTTTACAGTTAAATTTCTTTCCTGTGGGTTTAAGACATAAAATAACGTAATAAGATGCACTAAAAGCTAAGGTTGTGTGGGGAATGTAAATTTTTTTTAGGTTTCAAGATTATTTTATTTATAAAAACAACCAAATCACTATGGATGGGGTTTTACAAAATTAAACATTTGGATAATAATTTATTCATCTTTTTGCTATCCTGCTTTGTGTAGTGAATATAGTAATAAATGATGTTATTTAAGCACAGCTTAAACCTATTGATCATATCTGTTAAAATCCATCAAAGTGACAATCCATTTTATAAATACTCATGTTTAACCAATTATTTCCATATTTCCTTATGAATATTATCCAAGAAATGTTCTGTTAAACCCAAAGTAAGCATCATCTGCCTTCCTCTATCCCCAGGAAAACACTATGGAGTCTACAGTTGTGAAGGCTGCAAAGGTTTCTTCAAGAGGACTGTGCGCAAAGATTTGACCTACACCTGCCGTGACAACAAGGACTGTGTCATCGATAAACGACAGAGGAACCGCTGTCAGTACTGTCGCTACCAGAAGTGCTTGGCCATGGGCATGAAGAGAGAAGGTACAGCACATACCGTTGAGGATAGAGTCCCACTTAAACATAAACCCTCAAACCTGTACATGTCCACTGGAATGAAAAGTAAAGGGTCTTAATAAGCATCAATGAGGCTAGAAAACAAAAAAATGTATACATTGTATACACAGTAATAATACTTTCATGCTGCACTCGTCTCAGTGTTCTCTGTTGTATTATTTTGAACAATTAACTGTTTCAGTGAAAAAGCTATAGCTATGACCTTTTACTTCTGCTAAGGTTTTATGAACTATCGAAAACAAAATGGGTCCAAAGCATCACAGAACCCCCACTGTGCATAACAGTAGGAATAAGATGCTTTTCCAGGTAAAAACATTTTGCAAAATCCACCTTTTGCTTTGTTTTTGTAAACATATACAGTAGATTTAGTTTATTTAAAGAGTTTCGGGTGACACTAAGGAGTTACGCTTAATTCAGTCTCTAGAAAAGAGATTAAACTAAACTAACTTTCTTTGTTAGTTTGCTAAAAAAAATACGGTTCCTCTTCCAGCTTGGTTGCCAGATCGGTTACCAGCTCCGTCCCGAAAGCACGATCCATTCTGCGTCTGCGCCATCAGCTCATTTGTGCATCCAGATATACATCCTGGTAGCCCTTGTTTTTATTTTGTTAAAAAGACCTAAATGATATTTTTCCCTCTCCCCAAAAATAGTAAGCGTACTAAACTATAATGTGTTAAAGGTTAATAATGTATTTCTGAGAAAATAAATGCCTTGAAATCCTTTCTGTTTTATCACTCATCTCTGCCCGATCTGAACCAGAAATAGGATCCTACGCTACTTCCGGGAGCTACCTTTTTCGGCTTGAATTTAAACAGAAATTTAGTCTTTTTGAGTTTTATGTTTTCCTTTCATTTTAACCTTATGCTATATAGTGCGTAATCTTAGGAAAGAAACAACAAAAATTCAGATAAAGATGGTTTAATCATATTTTGCCGGACTGCTCTGAGCATGTCCTATGATGACGTCAGAGAAGCAGTTTAATTAATAAAATGTAAAAAGCTGAAAAATTGTCTCACAATAGTCATTAAACATTTTTTAAAGATGTGTATTAGCATTCTTTAGTGAGGTAAGGATAGAAATAAGTCATTTTAGTACCATAATTACATTATTTATGGACACCCGGATGTGCACGTGTTTCCGGGACGGATCGGGTAGTGACAGCCAGTGCTTAGTAGTAAAAGGCTACTATGTGTTACACCATATTTATACCCTAAAGACACAGGAACCTTTGGACAATAACACACAGTTCCAAGTAACCAAGCAAACCTTGCTGAAGCAAATAAAGTAGCAATAAAAAAATAACCCCAGGGGATTTTTATACAACTATTAGTTCCTAACATAAAGGATGTTTTTCTACTTCATTAGAGGTATTTGAGTTAAAGCTGGATTCATCCTAAGATGTACTGGAAACTTATACAGCAACAATACATGAATTATATTCTGGAACAGTTCAGTGGAATGAAGATTTTCCCAGCATGTGGGGCTTTCCACTTCTTTTAGGAAGATGTATTTAGTCATCCAGATGAAAAGGCTAAATATGTCATCTACATATTTTAAGGTTATTTGTCTAATTATCCATCTTTTGTTTTCGTGTTCATGTAAATTAAATGCAGTTACAGTTAAAATTAAATATGCAAATTACCATTTAGCATCAGCATCAGCCTATCTATAGACATTAAGGGTTGTTGTTTGCTTCAGCTCCTTGTTGAACAAACCTTTTGGTGTTGCTCCTTATTAATTCAGATTTTGTTTTTCTATTTTAAACAGCAATAACAACTTTAGTTTTTCAGCCAAACCCCGCTTCTCATCTTTAAAGAGCTCTTCTGTTTAAAGTTTTCTCTGCGGGTTCTGTGTTTCAATATTATGAACACGATTTAGCACTTGGCCTCTTTAATTGGCCTCCGTGCAAATTATATCTACTTCCAAACTCATAAACTCAAGTGTGGGTTAATAAATACTGTCACTTGATTCTCAAGTTTCTTTAGCTGCGTTGTTCAGCAGCTGTGAGTCTAAAAACACACCGATGCAAAGGTTTAGTTTGTATAATTAGCAAAGTTTTCTCTCTTCTCTACAATAAATCCATTAATTTTAAATAAACATAATTTTTTACCATGGATACATCTTAATACCAAAGCCAGAGAAGCAAATCAAAGTAAAACTACAAACATTTCTCCTTGAATGAGACCTTGCACATGCAAAAAAAACTTGTTGCTACGGTGATTTTTGCACGACGCTGTCACATCTTTTCCACAGCTAAGACTGACTGCAGTTTGATGATGTTTTTCTCTATACTTCTTACTTTATAAACAACCTTGATTAAAGCTTAATGCGGTCGATCAGATTATAGTTTCTGGAGCGGCAAGAGAATGAGACACAGTGTTCTGTGGAAACAGAAAAAATTTGTTATGTGTAGGAAAGAAAAGCAGGCAGCAAGGTGTGAATTTTAAGACTCCATGAAGGTGTTAAAAATATTTGTGCTCTGGGCAGTGCTGTTAAGCTCTCCTTCACACATTGAACAAATCAATCAGTCTGTTTCTGCAGTATGGTAAAGAGGTTTTTAAATGCATGTGCATAGATTATAGTGTCTTGCTAATGTATTCACACCCCTTAGAATATCCCACATTATGCCATCTTAAAACCACAAGCCTCACAAAAGTTTATTGTGATTTTATGTTATGGATTCAAACAATGTAATGATTGTAAAGTGAAAAAGTAAGACATGGTTTTCAAAATAAAATTTAAAAAACACATTCCAAATAGGTTATGTAATTAGCAACTCTTTGCTGCAGATTCGCAGCTGCCAGCCTTTACATATTGAGCCCATTAGGGTAACAGTTCTGCTGAACAAAGACCCCAAGATGCAGCTGTTAGCAGGTTCTTTATTAGCCCCCATGTTATTTCCGTATTTACGTTTAATTTGAGAATTGAAACTTACTGAGAATCTTTGGAAAGATTTAATATTTAAGTTTACAATATATTTCCTTCCAGTCTGACTGAGCTTAAGCATTGCTTGTAGAGACATACTGTGAAGAAAATCCATTTAGCTAATGTTTTCATGCCTTATAAAGGCTATGCAAAGGCTTGATGGGTATTAGGTGGGCATAGAATGGGATTCTTGTACACAGTCCCCTTTAGTTTACAAAATTAAGTTAAATTGAATTGTGTGATTTTTAAACCGTGAATATGTTTTGATCCAAACAATCTCTTTTAACTCAGACTGTGTTTTGAGCCTTTGTCCTGCTAGCATGTGAACCTCTCTCACAATAGTAAGTCTTATTAACTCTCTAATCTTCCATGATTGCCCTCTATTTAACTCCAGGCTCTTTTCCATAAACTCTGACCAGCTTCAGTGCCCTAGATGAAGGAAAGCATCCCCGCAGTATTATACACTATTACTACCTTTTATTTTATGGATGTTTTCAGGACTACATACACATGTTGGCTGGGATGGTGTTTTGCATGTAACCCTAAAGGTTTGTTATCTTTCTCAGTCTAACAAAGCACTTTCTTCTGCATCTTCATACATGCTTAACATTGCTTGTGGAAAACTGCAAACCAGGGAAGCTTCAATTATGCTGCCGACCATCGATACCGAGTCAAACGTGCTGCTGGCTACAGGATCTGGAGAAAAGGAACATTACAATCACTTTAATTTTTAGACAAAAGCATGTTTTTACTTCGTTTAAGAGAAAAAAAATACAATACTGCATAATGCAGAAACTATTCAGTTAATAGGACAACTGGAAAAACTTGCTATCAGTAGTAGAATCTCTAACAGACTGAAAACATTAAGGCTTTTAACAGGCTAAATTATGCAGAAAGTCGACTACATCTCACAATATTGCCTAATAGCAATAAAAAGGAAACATTACAAGTCAAATAGGGGTTACATTCCAATTAACTATCATAAGTTACTAAATCCAAAATATTTATAGCAAACTGCTGTGCATGTCAAAGAAAATACAATTCACTGCTTAAATGTTTTAATGAAATGGTACAATGGATCTGTTGCTTCATATGGCCTGTTTGCTACTAGTACAACCTTATTAGTTTCCAGTATTCCAGTGCTGATGCACCCCAAAGGATGGGGGGCTCCACTATATGTGATAGATTTCCATCTTAGATGGTTTTTACTTTGTCGGCCTGGGCCTGCTGTCAGACATTGAAGACAGGGACCCTGGCCAAGGCTCTTCCTCTACTGGCTTCCCTGTCCTGTTAGCTTCAGGCTCTTTAGTTGGGTTCCCTCGTGGCGGCTTCTGTCGTCAGACCAAGAGTTCCTCAGGATAAAATCTGTTCCTAAAACGGGACAGATTTAATTTCAAATGAAACTTCAAGCAAGCTACCAAGAAAGCTTAATTTCTTTTGTCATATTCAATGACGAACTCCTCAAATTTGCCAAACTATTAAGTGGCTCTTCACCAGTGTCAGTAGATCATTGGGTGAAGGCTTCCAGCAAGTTGCTGTCTTTACATGTCACTTGTACTACTTGGAACAGCAATGCCAACGGCAGGGTTTAAGTCCTACACCCCAAACCTGATAACCCTACATCTGTCATACCTCCATGTTTCTGGCATTTTACCTCAGCATCATGTGCTCCTTGTCTTTTGGAAATAACCCATTTTTGAAACCTTTTCTCAAAAGCAGACGCTAAAGCTATGGCAGTAATGAAGCCAAAGAAACCCAGGGCACGTAAACCGTTTTGTTTTTTTTGTTTTTTTGTTTTTTTTTTTAACAGAAAGTCTTGATTAATACAGATAGCTTTTAAACTCAGCATCGATTTCCCGGACTGACGGCCAAGCTCCAAATCATTCTTGAAACTTGCAGAGGGTTAGCCACCCTCTCGACGGAGACGTCTGATGTGACAGCACACTGGTGTAGTGCAGGCAGAGCTGTACGTCTGTGAAATGTTTACATCCCAGTAGCACGTAGCAGGGCTCAGAGTCTGAAACTAGTTAGCGGAACTTCCACATCCTGAGAAAGGCTGCTTATCTAGCTTGATGGTTTCAAGTCAAACTGTGTAAAAGTTCCACAAGGCAGGCATATTTGTTTAGGATTTGCTGCCTTGTGCTTGCACAGTGTAAAGAAACAGGCTAGAGACACTTAACTCCTCTGTAGGCTACAAAGTATGATCTAGAGACAATCAGGCAACAACAGACTTAGATCGACATACACTGATTACATAGTGTTTTGGCAGTTAATAATTTGCACCAAATTGATCTGAATGCCCCTACTACAACCAGGACATCTTATGGATTGAATGGAAAAGTGAATTATTAGTTTTATACTCTGACTTTAAATAAAAAGTGATAGTTTTGCTGCATCCATGGAGCTCTTTTTTGAGCTCTTTGAGCCTAAGCAATAGTATTTTAGATTTCTCTCACTTTTTCCTGACCCCATCTTGGCCTCCTGTCCCCTCCTGAATGCTTTTGTTTATGTCATTGTTGGCCTCCATACTCCTTTCAGGGATATTATCATTTACTACCTCTTGCCTCACTCCCCGTGTTGCCTCAGTCCCCCCCTCAGCACCCCGAGGGCTGTGGTTAGAGAACAAGGCAGCAGCAGTAGCCCAAACGGCTAAGCGAATCCACAGAAAAACAGGATTAAATGAATTTATGCACTCCCAGTCAGGACAGGAGAGCAGAAGAAGAAGGAGGGGGGGTGAGGGAAGAATAAAGCTAACATGATTTCAGCCCTCCTCACCTCTCTGTGACTCCGACACAAGTATTCTACCCTTGGGCTGACCTCCACTGCCAGACAGCCGTTCCTCCAAAACTGGGGCCCCTCTCTCTTTCTCCACTGACAACCTCTGCTTTCCTTTCCCTTACAACAAGACCAAGGCCTCTCCAGTTCAGGACGTGAAATGGAAACCAGAGCAGGAAAACTTAAGAAGACAGGGCCTCTTGAACACTGAGTGTGTAATGTGTGTGTTAAGGGTGTGTATAGACCTGCATGTTAGTTTTAGCTCTCTAAAATCTCCCTTTTATATAACTTTTTTTTTTTTCAAACTCTATTAATCTGCGGTTGGGAGAAAAACCCACAATACGCTGAAACATTTAACTGCGGTGCCGTGAATGAAATAAATTACAGCCTTTTGAAAAGACAAAAACATACTCGCGCTGCTTTTTTCACTTGAGGCTGGACATGTGGTTTCTCCTGCCTCAGCTATGAGTCTCTCTGTCTGCCCAGCAACAATCATTTCCTGTCTCCAAGTCAATCAGATGACAGAATCAACACAGTTGTGTTTATATCTTTCTTTAATGCATGACAAAGTCCTTATTGACTTCTGCTGCAGCTTTTTATTGCTTTATTCAGATGATTTTCCCTGAATTTGTGGTGAGGGGAAAGGGAAAGGACGTACGGAGCCTGACAGAAGTATTTATATTCCTAAAAATGTTCAGAAGTTGTTGAATATGATGACAGGCTTCAACCTTTTAGCATTATTCTATGAGACAGACACACACATATGCGGTTTGCTATGTCGTTGAAGCTAAACTATACTTTGCAATGAAAGATTTTTAAGGTCGAATGTTGACGAATAGTTGTCTTGTCGGGAGATTTTATCACTTGGTGATAAAATCAGAGGACCTTTGCAGCTCCTCTAAAGTCACCATCTGCTTTTGTATATCTAACAATCATAATAATGCTCTCCTTCCTTCATCTGTCAGTTTCAGTAGATGGCCATATTTTGGTAGGTTTGCACTTCTTTAAACTTCTCCACATCTTTTGCCTGACTTGTCTGCTGTGTTTCTCCGCCTTCATGCTCCTGTTTAAGTAGTTTTCTGCAAAAGTGCATTCAGATCGAACGTATTGTCTGCAGTGATTTCCATTACTCACCGCTCTGCGTTTCAGGTGCACAGTTTTCACACCCCAGACTGCGTCATTAAAAAGGAGGAGCTTCAGCCATGAAGCTGACACCCGCAAATAGACCGAATGGTTATTGTTATTATTTTTATTGATTTATTTAGGTTAGTGCTTCATTAGTGCAGGTTTGTGTAGTTGGAATTTGTAAAAATGAAAAAATAAAAACTACTTTTCTTTCAGAGATATTTTTTTAGGTAATTAACAGCTCAACTATCCCCCATTAAGCTCAGAATTAAAATAAAAATCATCTGCTTTTTCAGTGCTACTTCATTTGTGCAGGTAAACTGTCATTTGTGCTGATTTGGTTTTTAATACAGAATCATTTTTAATTTCAGCTGATGCCATTGCCATCCCAGCAATAGTTAGTCATGCACAATTATTGCATAACATCACATGCAATTCCTGTGCTGTTGTTAAATATAACAGTGGGCGTGTTAACCTTATTTAGTGGAATTATTTTTTTTCACAGTATTTTGTAGTCCATGCTGTCTTATCCCCATAGGATTTCCTGTCAAGGTCTCAATATTGGCATTTCACAATAAAAGCACAGGTGAAACGTAGCAGTACAGACTGCTACGAACTGTTTTAAATCACCTTAGGGAGACCATTTATTATTGGAAAAACCCCAGAAGCACTTAAAAAAAGAGTCCACATTGGTTAATCCAGAGCTGGGTCTGGATGACAGTCTGATTCAGCGGTACCTCCTTGTAGAACCTGTGCAAAGAGCAACATTGCTGGGGGGACGCGGCAACAGACGGATGTCTGAGCCGGGGGGAAGGAAGTTTGACAAACAGTCTAGGGCTAAATTAAAACAGCTTTTTTAAAAGCCACCTAAAAACCTCATCAGAGGATTCCTTATTTCATCCTTTGTTATCATTATTTCCTCTGTGTTTCATTTTGACTGAAAAAAAGCTTCTCCTCGGCTGCATTTCTTTAACCTACCTCACAACTGCAACTAGTCCCTGATTAGTAGCCGCGACACGATTTCACAGGAAAGTTCAGCTCGTTTTAATTTTAGCAATCACCGCTCTGCTCTCTCCATGTGGTGCTGATGTTTGACAACACCTCAGTTCTATCAGGTAGAAGCAGACAGGAACAGTGACCCCTCTAATCACATGGGATTCACCGCTGACTGCTTTACCGCCCTTTATCAAGTGGCTTGCATAGGGATATTATTTTATGAAATTAAGACCATCGCCCTTGCCGCAGACACTGCGCTCGTTCTGAATGCATCTTGAAAACCTCTCATACCTTTAAAGCAAAGTTACATTTTACAGAAGTTAAATCACACCTAGATGGACTGAAATCCCTATATAGGTTACATATAAAACCAACTAGCTGAACTGCATCACACTTCCAGGTACAGATACAGGAGTTTTGAAATAAATGCACACCACACTTGTTAGATTTGTTTTCCATCTGAAAAACTTCAAAGGTTTGTGTTGTCCTGTTCATACAATCCAAAAAAAATGCATTAATGATTTAATCTATAAGAATACTGTTCGTATACTGTTCAAGGCTGCGTTTGTGGTGTGAGGGAGAAGTGAAAGGCCTTACATTATTTATATGTGAAGGAAACATTTTTATATAAAAGGATATAGATATTTGCCATTGAACAAAACAGAAGCAAACCTGTTTCTTTGAAGTTGAAGCTGGAAAGAGTCCCTGAACCTTTCTGTGCGGCTGTGTTGATTTTTTTTATGTAGGTCTCCTTAATATTCAGTGAAAAAAAGTATTTTAGCCGAACTTGACAAAAAAAAAAAAAAAATACCAACTTAGGTTTTGCATGTAACAGTGAATTATATCATATTTGTTAATGGAGTCCTTTAACTAGCAAAGGTTCTGCTAAAAGCAGCGTTTGAGGATTCTTATGATAGCTGATGGTGTAAAGTAATCCCTAGCTGTGCCATTAAAGAAGAGCAGTCTTTCCTTACCCTACATTGCCTGAGAGCATGTTTAAATATGTGCTGACATCAGCAGTTAACAGCAGTAGTGAACGGAATCAGTTTTGTTACATGCAGCCGTCCAGGAGGAGCGCCAGCGTGCCAAGGAGAAGAACGAGAACGAGGTGGAGTCCACCAGCTGCGCGAACGAGGACATGCCCGTGGAGAAGATCCTCGAGGCCGAGGAGGCGGTGGAGCCCAAAACCGAGACCTACATCGAGACCAACCTTGGCATGCCATCTAACTCGGTGAGTGCTGTTTTATTCTGTTAATCTAAAACTGTGCTTTATATCCAATAAATCAGGGCTACGTCTGAAAGTAGTTGCTGTTCTCTAGTTTTCTGTTCAGTTTAATGTGTTTTATGACTCTGTTGGCACAATGAGTGAAGCTCAAGGGCCTCAAGCTGAATACCAAAACTTTCTAGGTGCAAAACCAGAATAAAAGAAAACATTAATTATGGAATAATTAAGCTTTTTTAGGAATTCTATCCTTTTTTTGGGAACTGTAGACAAAGACAGGAGTGAGATTTGTTTTCATTTACACTTGCAATTAATAATAATTCCTGCAACTCTTATAATTAATTGAAACAATATAGTTTGTAATTAAACATACAGTATAACACTGTTTATCCTTTATATCTCCACATGAAGTTCTCCAAATCCTTTCTGGTCATCTATCAACTTTTTATTACTTTTAGCATATTTGATACATTAAATTGTAATGTTTGCAGCTTTTCTAGACTTTACTTCACCAGAGGTGAAAGATGCATTTTTATGTCCCCTGTTGACACTTTCTGTCTCTGCACTGAGAAGTCACTCAACAGAGAAACATTTTTAAAAAATGCAGTAAGTTAGGTAGAAACTTTGAATGCTGTCTCTGACAATGAGTGAATTGAGAGGGGAGCAACCTGTTCTTGAACTGCAGGAGAGACTCCTACTTGTTATTTATTTCTGTGGAAAGTTTTAAGCTGGTTCAACCATCACACCATTTATTTCTGCGTATGTGAGATGGGGAAAAGAAATTCTAAAAGAAAGCTAAGACCTCCTCCTTACCCCATCACCTTCAGTTCATGTCCAGATATCACAGCATATAAAGGGTAAAAGGAATGGACAGTAAATTATTTTGGGTCTTCTCCAGAGACTGCCCTTAGAGCAGCTCTAAAAAATATATATTTATCTCAAATGAAAAGTTGCTGTTCATTTCAAAGGATTCCACAGATCAGCATACTGACATTTTAACAATGATAACAGCACTTGGGCTTTGTCATTTTATTTGAAATAAAAATAAATAACTCATAATGTGGATGAATAAAGAAAAGAAGGCCCCAGTTGAACATTTAGGAGGCAAAGATGGATGTTTCTCCCAAATCCCAACCTCAGAGTCCAAGATGGCTGCCATTTCTTTAAACGTTGTGACATCTACAGTAATAAACAGTTTATTTGTACTGGTAGTTTGCATGACATTAAATAGTTAAATACATGTAACAACCTCAACTTTTAAACATCTTTATTATTTTAATAAATAACATATAGAGACATGCATTGCTATCAGGTGGCATTTCTAAAACTAATTAGTCTGATCCTTAAGTAAACACTTTTAATGATTTTCTAACTTGATCCTACAGGTCTAAGTACTGTTTAATCCTATTTCCACATCCAATTTTGACTACAGTAGTAAATTGACAGTTAGTAAACGTAAACCTCCCTGTATTTCTATTTTCTTTCTAATGATGGGGATTATTGTAATGAGCTCCCCTCCATTTTTTCTTAGTTGTGTCTTTCTGAAGCAATGATCATTCTGTCTTCTCAGCTTCATGTTAGTTGATGTTCTTTTCAATTATCTTCGGAATAGTTCACGTCAAAAATACTTTCTGGGTTAAACTCAAGTTAGCATATCTACGACCATTGCTCCCATTACCACAAGTTGAAAACCAATCGAAAATAAAATGTAATTTATCATGTCCATCTAAATATGAACTTCATAAATTAAACGGGATGCTGCAATTTTAGTTAATATGGAAAACCAACCAGTTCAGCAGTTCTTGTATGGATTATCACTGATTATTTATATATATATATTTTTTTTTTCAAGGCAGCTAAACTACAGTGGATAAAATACACATTTATTAACATTTATTATATATTTTTTTTCACACACAAATAACATCTTGATCAAAGTGTTCTGTCTGTAGGAGAGCTAACTCTTTGGTGGGCGTGTTATGTTGTCGCCAAGTCTTCAGCAGCGGTAGAGAAGATGGAGAGAAGACAGGACCTAGATAGAAGTAAAAAAAACACTAAAACTTTAGATGATGTTAGCGGCTCACCTTTCAGGAGACCAACGACTAAAGAGGAAAAATATATATATGTATTTATAATGAAACACTGGAGCCATATTTTTCCCTCCTGATCTTCATTTCTGGTTAATTTTCTCTGTTGTCACGGTGGTGCAATCTGGTTTAAGTGAAATAATGAAAAATTGAAAGGCAAATCTTTCTCCTCCCCTCTGCAAGTGATGAAAATTTCATAGGACAGTATGCAAGCTTGGCAATTCTCTAAGTAGTGGGGATGATGGTGCACATGTGCTATAAATCCTCTGATTTTGCTTGGAACAAAGAAAGCCTAGCGTGTGATCACGGCTAAAATATCTTTTACACAGATTTCTTCTTGATTTATTGTTTTAAGCAGGTTGGATTTGTAATGTTTCATTGCAGTGATTGAGGCATAGCTCAATGCACATTCTTTCAATGTAGTCTGATAGCACCCCAAATGTTGCCTCATGACCTGAGCAGTAGGTACAGTAATGCTCGGCTCGTTAATTGTCTCAGCAAAGTGCAAACTCTTCTTCTCTGACATCTCCTACGACGGAAGCAGAGAAACGAGGTCAGTGTAAACAGGGATAAGATATTCATACAACATTGATGAGACCCATAGTGTTTAACGACATTCCAGGGACTTCTTATGATGAGGCAGAGAAGACTTGTGCCCCAGCCTGTTGGTGGCACATATCTACCCCACCCCCCCTTATTTTTTGTCTTGCTTTGTTTGTTAGCCGGCCTGCCCTTTGGAAGAAATTAGCTCAATCTGTTTGTGTTTCTGCGAGGAAACGCAACTCCCAAAACTCTTGCTCCGAGCTGTGCCGTCCATCGTTTCCCACGGAGATCAGATGCTAAAATATTCATAAGACGCCAGTTGTCTTTTTGGCCCCATAGGGGGAAAAAAAAAAGACAAGTTTTAGTTTCCAAAACAGTTCAGCCTTTGTTTCTGGGATAAGTTTTATGTATATTTGGTACATTTCAGATAGACATCTGCAATGCTCTGCAGGCACTGTGACTCTTCCACTGTTTGGGAAGGAACATAAAGGAGAGGATTGGGTCGTCTTTGGTCTGCACATTAAGAACAGAGGATGCCAGTTTTCCCCTTCATCTTGAACTAATCTTCTCCAGAGAACTGCAGTTGATGTCAGGATCTTCTCAGCTTTTAGCATCGATCTGTGGGATTTGGTTTAGGAAGTCGGGGAGAAGTTGCTCACTTTCTTTGGCAAAGTGTGAGTTCACACAGGAATACAGCATTTAAGAATGTTTACTGTATTTAATAACATGCAAAAAAAAAAAAAGTGTGCCTGTTTTCACATATGCATATCAGGGGTTTGGACTCGTGGGACGATGGTAAACTTCTCGTCAAAGACTGACACTATTGTTTAGGATGGGTTTCATTTTAGTGAAGTAGTCATACAGTATGCATGTGTTACATTAGTATTCCATGGTTATTCCCTTTAGATCCTAATACTGTACCTCTGAATCTTAAGCACAAGGACACTTCATGAGAAGATGCATTTGATGTTGGTTTGGTGAAAACAGGAGGGATTTTCTACTCATTCTTCAAAGGAAATATTTTCTTGACACTGAGCAGTTAAAGGGCATCCTAAAAATGCAAAAATGTAGGTTCCTTTACAGCACAAAAAGTTTGCTATCTAGGCAGTGACATGCCCTCAAATGTGAAATCTGTCAGAAATAGACACTGTTTCAAAGTTATAGAAGCAGTGTTAACAGGAAGTATTATGTATTAATACTTGAATGTCACTCTGTAAATGGAATTGGGATTCAGGTTTCCTCTTTTATCCTCTTTTATCATCGCTGTTCAATCACGGTGTTCTGAAATAACATTTTTGATTCCCCTGTTTCAGATTATTGGAAAAATGAAATGTTTTCAAACCTTTTTTGACTTGTGTACCCCTTTAGGCATTTTGTCTTACCATGATACCCCTCTATGTCAAAAGTATTTATGATTGTCCAAAAGTGGAAAAATAATTACAATAAATAAAATAACTGTTTATAAAACAAAAATTACTTTATTAAATCTTTTAACCTGAGCATATAAATCTTAGGCATTTTATTATTTCCATCTCAAATAGAAATCAACATAAGTATGTTGCCTGGAAGTTGGTAAGGAATCGAAAAAAAAATAAAATAAATAAAATCATATTATAAACCTGTATTCATAAAACTAGTGCTCCTCTAAGTAACTGATTTATAGTCAGTTTTTTTTTTTTTTTTGAATCGGGAACAAAATACAGAAGAAAAATTATATTCAGACTGACTTAATTAGTTTTACTTTGTTTTCTCCAAGACACCTAAGCGGTTGGTTATTAGTCATCAATATGCTTTTAAGGCCAATTTCTCCTGGTACAGTTAACCTATGCTACCAGTGGCATGGTTGCCCTGACAGACTAATACATTTCAAGACGTTACATCTAATCTGTTCATCTTATTTAGATCAGTCCATGATTGGCTGCTGTTTGAGATCTTTTTGTTTCTATGATAATGTCAGACAGGTTCTAGTAGAAATCAGTTGAGAGGTTTTTCCTTAGAGGTTTTTTCAAGACGCCTAACATTTCATCAAGGAGCAGTTCTGCAGATTTTACATTTTCTGACATAAAATGATGAGAAAGTAAAAAAAAAAAAAACCTTCTGTTATATAAAATCAGTAAAATTATTCTTTTTTTCCGCTTTAAAGACCACATCTCCTCAGGACCTGTAGTAACCCAATAAAGTCAATTCAGTAAATTATTCTAGCTTTCGTCCAGATTCATCTGCACAGTTTTCTGAAGGAAAAAAGCTCTCATCGTCCCTTTTTTTTTTGGCACTAAAAAGACAATCAAGTAAGAGATCTAATAAAAAAAACACAATCCTGTGCAAAGCTAGGTTTTATCATTAAACACACATTAATAATTTCTTTCCAGTTAATCTTCTAAGCCTATAAATCCCTAGGAAAAACAAAAATAGGCAATGCTTCCGAATTTATTTATTTTTTTCTATGCACAATAAGACAACAGAGTACTTTTAAATCTAATTTAGCCACAAGGCCTGCTGAATTACTGGGAGTAAATAGGAGTTATGCACATACTGCAGGTTGCATATTTTACAGTCCCATTTTGGTTGGCAATAAAGTTCCTTTGCACTTGTTTAGTAGTAAAGTGTCAGTCACACTTCTAAAAGCCCCTCTTGAGTTTCTCCAGTTCTCCAAGAGTGTGTTAGCTAAAAGCTCCCCGAAGATTTAGCACGCTCAGCAAAAGTTGTTTTTTTTTTTTTTTTTCACCGGCAGCTCTCTGCAGGTATTTCCTCCACAAGCTGGGACAGAATCACTGTTTGTTTTGTCTTCCTGCTCGCCTTCCTTTTGACAGGCTATCACCCCCAGCTTAGCACTGATGTTGCCGTCATTATGTCTGTGAAAGCACAATGATTGGTTGCTCCCAGGTATCCTGGGATCAGGCTCTGGTCCAAAACACACTCGCATACTGAAAACAACGAAAAAGACACTTATTCATTGAGCCTGTGTGCTCCTTTTTGTGTGTCTGTGTGTGTTTCCCCGCAGCCCAACGACCCAGTGACAAATATCTGTCAGGCAGCAGACAAACAACTCTTCACTCTGGTGGAGTGGGCCAAGAGGATTCCCCACTTCTCGGAGCTGCCGCTGGACGACCAGGTCATCCTGCTACGAGCAGGTATGTCAGCACAAGTTCAGGAGTTTAAAAAGGAAACGTGTAAGGAGAGTTCTTAGAAAGCAGGCTGTGCTGGGTGTGGATTCTACTTTAATAAACTGAACTAAACTGCAGGAGAAACAGGTGTGTGTTTCGTCTCTGTTTCCCTCTGTAACCTGCCAACCTTACAAGACAATCGCATATGAGATGATGGATGGATTTATTTTTTTTTCTGTAAAAAAGTTGCATTTCTTATAAATATAATTCAACTTTATTGTCAATACATTGTCAAGTACAAAGCAACGAAATTCACACTCTGCATTTAACCCATCCCTTGTCTTGAAACCTTAAGATATTAGATTGTTTTTTTTCTGGAAAAGATCAGGTTGATGCATATGGACAAATTTAATAGGAAAAGGGAAAAAAACAGGGGAAAACATAGTTTCAGCTCATAAAAGAAGTCCTCTGAATACAGAAGTATACAATTGCCAGCGCTAACGATGACTTTCTAGGCATACAGGCTAAAAGTTGTTTAAAACTAACCTTAAATGAGATGCCTCCAGCTGCTTCTTCTACTTGTGAAAAAGACAAGCTAGCTGCTATCATCTGTCACCTCTGCTATAATCATCAGCATCACAAGCAGGACAGCAGCACATTGCTTTCATTCTCTGCCTGTCGCTCCAAATTACACCATTTTATTATCCGTCCATCTCTAAAATAACGAATGGAGAAAAAAAATCCCCTCTCTCATAATTCCTCCTCAGCCTTTCCACATAAAATGATGCAGAGACTTCACCAAAGTGGAGAGATATTATTCTGCAGAGCTCGTCTCTTCTCCTCTCCCAGGTTTTCTATAAATAACCGCTTTAGTTCTGCTGTATCACAGATAAAAGCATCACAGCTCATCTCATGGTCAAATTCAACTTTAGGGAGTAGAGGCAAGCTGTTGCCAGGCAGAAGAGTTAAAGGAACCCTGTCGCTCACCCACTGCGTCTTGTGTCTTTGCCGATTCCTCCATGTCAGGCCCCCTGCATTGGCACATCAAGCCTGTTGTCTTTATTGCGATGGCAGGCACGGTTCATCCCGTTTACACGCTTGTCTTCTTAGAAAGCCTGATTCCAGTGTCTCAGCGATAACCTGGTGCTTGTGCTTGGGAGAGCTGCAGGGCTTTTGCGGTGCGGTTGTAATTGATTCATCGGAATTTTGCCTTTGTTGTGGTTTTAATTTTGTCTCTTGAACGCTGTATGAACTTTTGTACTTGGACTTACCTTTTTTTTTTTTCCTGATTTACTTAAACCATCCTCTGCCTTGATCTCCCTCTCCCCATCTCTGTCTCAGGTTGGAATGAACTCCTCATTGCATCATTTTCACACCGTTCCATCGCAGTAAAGGATGGGATTCTGTTGGCGACAGGGCTGCACGTGCATCGCAACAGCGCCCACAGTGCTGGAGTGGGAGCCATCTTTGACAGGTCTTTATTAAATTTTGCTAAACCTTTTAAAGTGTGAAAATAATTTCTAAAAAATCCAACTTTACCTGAACGTGTCTTGGATTTTTCTGCTCTTAGATCTATAGAAAATAGATTGTAATTGTATGATTACACAAAGGAAAGTGGAAAGGTAAAAGTCATAGAGACACAACTCAAAGGAACATATTTCAGCCTACAACTTGAGAAATTATGGTCAAAGATAATATTTTTTTTCCTAATTTATAATAATAATTCACAATATTGCACAACACCAATACAAAATTCTTCTGATACAGAAATGTTGCGCTACGGCCTACACAATCATAGATGTACGGCGTAAAGCAGTTATTTACATCCTCCATAAGAAAGGCGAGTCACAAAAGGTCTCTGCTAGAACTGCCAGCTGGTTGCTGTATGGAAGTCAAAATGGATCCAAAGCCCACATTAAAACGTACATTTAATTTGTTTAAAAAGTCCAAAAAAGTCAGCAGAGCCTGAGCTTCCTTTACCACCTCAGCAATGCCTTAAGATGATTTCTTCCATGCCTCAATGCACTGATGCAGTAACTCATGCCTAAAGATCTCTGCCTGACTATTGATCACATGTCCTGTTCTCTGCCTGGTGGATGTACTATTCAGGAAGCCAACTGCTCAGGCTCCTTTTTGATAGTCGGATAGGATTTACTAAGAAACTGCATTTTGTAATTTTTTGTAAGAGATAATTATGAAAATATAGTCAGATTAAAACTTAAAATGGGTGTTTAATGAAGTAAAATAGGTGATATTTTTCTGTTAGCTCCTATTGAGATGAATTATGTTTTTCCAGAAGAAAAAGTCACAGCAAATTTTACTTGAAGTTGTTTTTTTTTTTTCTTACTGCTCATACAAGGCAAGTGAAGTTATAGCCTTTAATGGGTATGTTTGAGTAGTTTCATTTTCTGACAGCGTATGCCATTTCTTATTCTTTCAATAAAGACATTACATCCAATGGAAATCACAGAGTGAGGCAGCACAGAAATTATTGATCAACTCCACCGTATTAAATATTAACATCAGGGTGCATCAGAGTTTTCAGGGAGAACCCTGAGCTACCTCAAAAAATGTCAAAAATAAAATGAATAAATAAAATCCATGTAAAGTCGAGTCACAGCCTAGTTAGGAGAGTGTAGGAACCGCCCTGGTGGCGGTTATTGACATTGTGTGCCAGCAGATAATCAGACCATGACATGTCTTCCACTGCCTCACAACTTGAGCAAAACTCATAGAAACTGGTTAAAAATAAAAAAAAATATATATATATATATATATATATATATTGCAGCCTTGCAGAGATGCATCTTAGAATATTTGGAGATGTTTTCATCTTAATCATTTATGAAGCTTGTTTAAATACCATAATTCAGCAATTAGTTCATTTCTTAAAATCTACCGTCTCAGTTTCACACTTTTTCTTCTTTACTTTGATCTTGATAACTAATGAATGAACTGAAAATGTTCTTATTTTGCAAATTTTCATTTTAAAATCTCCTATTCTTATTTGAATATTTTTTATACTTGTTAAATATAGCTCACATTGCAGCTGGAAACTTGGGTTTCCCTACTGAGGGACAATAAAAGTTATTTTGATCCTATAATAATTCCATAACTGTCTGTTAGCCAAAAATTAAGTGATTATCTCTAATAGAAGAAACTTATGCCATAACCAACACGTCACATGAACCACAAAAAAAAATCCTGAAATCAGGAAACGATGCAGGTAAGAGAAGCAGAAAAATTCTACTTTCCAAAGGATGGTCCTTTTAAAACAAGGGTTCCCGTTTCAAAATAAGGAAGCACCGCATACAACAGAGCTTAAAGTAAACCACGTAATATTCCTTGAGTGACACTGCAATAAAAAAAAGCATATCAGGCTGCTGACAGACGTCACTATATCAGTCTGAGTAATCTTGAATGTTTCTGCCAAGAGGAATTTGGAGAAGTTTATGAGAGAGCTAAGTTGGCGAGATCATCCTGATGATAACGTGAGCTTTCATTGGCATCAAAAATCCCTCAGTGCTGCAAAGGTGGAATGTTTAGATACTTGAGTGAATAAAAGATATCTTCATCTCAAAAGTGCAGGTTGGTTTAGGCTTTGGTGCGTATTTATCTTCATTTTAAAACAAATTTTTATGAATCTCTAGATAAAAACCCATATTTTACATTTTTAAAGGCTTTTCTGCAGTTTTGTATTTGGGTTACAAATCTAGACCCCAGGAGAATATCTTCTGTTCTTTGTAACATGACCGAATCTTAAAGATAAAGGCATTATGAAATAGTACCTTTTACTATTAGTACTGTTATTTCAACTTCTTGTTTTTAAATCCAGGAAGCGCTCCAACACAAATTCAGTTTTAAAATATTCCTTGGCCTAAAAACATTTTACAATCATCAGCTCTTAGGAAAATATAGGTTTATGTTTAATCTCAGAGTTGCAGAGCTCTTAAATTCGCTCAATGACTTTACCATTTGGAGAATTTCTGCTTACAAGAGAAACCACTCTACTGAGTCAGCGCTCCTTTCTCTCTGATTTGCAGAAATGTGGAGGAACCTGCAGCCTTCGTGACCCCAGACTTAAAGCTTAGCCTTTGACACTAAAGATCATTTAGTGTTAATCTGAATATTAAAATGATAGCCAGATATATCCAGTTAATCTTAAGATTGTTTTTCTTCTCATTTAAGATTTTCTGTTCTCAAAATGAACCTCAGATCAACACCTGAATTCATTTAAAACCATTAGCGTTCCACAGGGTTGTGTTGTTGGCCCTACCTTCTTTATTTGTTACTGCTATGCAGATGATATTCAGTTGTTTTGTTTTACATAAAAAAATATAGTTGAACAAACCTTTTAAAAATTGAGGCTGACCTTTGATGGTGTTTTTTACATTTAAACTGTAAAATGAAACTGCATAATAATGTTAATACTGTTCAGTGGTAACAGGATTGCATAGTTAAACAACTTTTATTTTTATTTTGTATTCAAATATAGTGTATACAAAATTAAATTTCATTTTGTACAACTTTCAAACAGTGAATGAGCAGCAGCTTAGCAGTAAAATGAACATTTCCATTTCATAAAATGCAGCAGTGATCAAACCAAGTTCACCTACTGCAGAAATGACATGAATGGACCACTCTGAAATGTTAAATTTTTCATTAAAATATAAATCATGACAATATTTTCCATTGAATTGTCATTCATAACCCGTTTTTTTATTGACAGTCACACATAAAATCCCTCAGGATTTTGTGTAAAGAACAAAATCCTTACGTTGTCATGCTGGACATTCAGACCCTGAAGCAGAAAAAAAAGCCTGTCACCAATGTGACTGAATATCAGCAGTTTAGTTTCTTAAATACTGTGTAACATCCCCAATGCATAAACTGGGGGCAGATGAAGCCAACAGTTTTTTAGATGTTGGTTTTTCTACCTTCAGGCAGGGCTGGGCGATATGACCTCAAACCAATAACATTTGGATAAACTGGACAGTTTTACCTCAATAACGACAAATGCATGATAAATGCACTAGCTCCTCTATCTATTTCTTTCATGTTAAAAGATTCTAGAATGTTAACAATTGACCAGGAGAAAACTGTTTCCTCTCTTGTGAAAATTTTTTGATCAAAGGTAATGGAGCCTTTTGCACATCTTTGAACTTAACAGCGTGGCTTTGCTGTAGGTGGTGGAGGTTGGATGTGTTACTTTGAGTTGTCCCAACAGTCTTCAGACAAACTTTGCATTTCATGTTCTTTTGCTCAACATCTATGGCGTAATTTTCGAACCACCAAAACGAGCACACAGTGAGAACAATATGAATCGTTTTAAGCCACACAAGCTCAATAAAAACCTGTTGGCCGTATGGTCAACTCTGAAAACTTAAGCTCAGCTTCATCTCTGCATGTTTCTTCACCGGACACATCATCCGCCATTCTCTTTGTTTACGCTCCTTACTTGATGGGTGGGGTCCCGTGATTACACACACACTGCCTTGTCTTAAAGGGGAAGGAGCCACCAGCGCACACTAGCAAAACGGCAGAATTAAGTTTATTTCTTTTACCGACAATGGGAAAATTGTCGCTGGGTATCATAGTAAATTACGATAATGGTAAGAATCTGGTTTATCACTCAGGCCTACCTCCATTATTAGTCGCTGATTCGCTCTTAGACTATAGCTTGATAGCTTGGCAGCACTGGGAAATGTTCACCATTTTTCCACTGTTCTCCATTGTGGCTAATGGCTCTTAATGCTTTTTCCCAAAATCCCGCCACTTTGAAATAGTTTTGTAAGCCTCACAAGGCTAATCTGTATCAATGACTATTTTTCTATTAAAATATATATTAAAATCCTTAGACTGAAGTTTGATTTGTTGGTTGTTGAGATTTTCCAGCCTACTTCATGCTGTCAGACTAGTTCTATGTAACCGATTGCTTACATCAGCAGAACAGGCAGTAATTAAGTCACTCTGTATCTTAATGAATTCTGTTCAACTGTCCAAAAACTGAGATTAATCCAGGTTAATTTGTGATTAAATATCAGGGTTTGGATTTTTTTTACATGCAGCCTGGTGGGTTCCTTTTTTATATAATAAATCTTGTTGTGTTAAAGCTGCACTCTAAAGGTTTTGTGTTAAAAATAAGGTGTTCTCCCTGATACAGATGCTGCAGGAGTTTAAATCTTATTGCACGGCAAGCACTGATTGTTGGTGGTTCCAGGGTTGTTCCGTAATATGCACACCTATTTTTTTGTAATCTCAGGGTATTAGTTCGGATCAGAAGGTAAAAACTTGGACGCAGTTGGGTGTTGCAGACAGACAATGCTTGACTGCAGAAGATGGATGTGGTGTGTTTAAACTGCTGATTTGTTCAGACAAGTCTCGTGTTTTTTTTTTTCATTCATCTGAAATAATTTATCAGGAGAATGATCAGTGAACACGTTGCCAGCAGAAAATAGACAGCTACTGTCAACCGGCCAGTTGTTGAGCCAGGGGACATTTTCCATCTCTGCATTAACTGTGGCAAACATTAAGATCCAGAGCACTGATTATGCTTCCTTATCTACTCCTTTGTCTCTCTTCTCCCATACAAATTAAGTCTGATTAACTTACACACTTCAGTCCCTTGTTTTCCCCTTTTGGCTCTGTCGTTCCTCCTCGGAGCAAATTAAATTAGCCGAGAGTCACAATTGACTTAGCAATCCTAAAGGCCTGAAAGAAAAAGTGAGCGGAGAGAATAAGGACGGGCGGCAGGGCGAGGGTGTGACCGTGTCAAAGAGGGGTAACGGTTGGGGCAAACCCTACCCTGTGATGTCACACACAGACAGTGGGAGTGCTGGTGTTGGATTACAGCTTGTGTTTACTCTGCGGCTCTCCCTGTATAAAAACCACACACTAAATATAATTACTCTGCAGGGTTGTAAACTTTTCCACTGATCTAACTGTGCCTCACTGTGTTCATGCGGGTTTATTTTTACACAGATGTGAACTTGTTGGATGTTGAAAACATATTTTTAATATACTGGTTTGGAAAAATTAACTTGAAGAGCTGTTTGCATCAAAAAAGAAAAAAAAAGTACCAATTAGAGTCAAGTGGGTCCCTGTGATGTGAACTTTTCTGGCACTTATTTGGTTATTTGACATAAAACAGTAGCCAAAGCAGACTGCAGTTCTGGCCACAGATTTTGCTTTTATGTCTTATTTTGTCGTCTTTTCTTCTGTATAGAGTGCTCACAGAGCTGGTGTCAAAGATGAGAGACATGCAGATGGATAAGACTGAGCTGGGGTGCCTTCGAGCCATCGTCCTTTTCAACCCAGGTAACAGTCATGTACAAGCAAGCTTTCACTTTCAAAACCCTCACTTTAAAACAACTGTAAAGTGAGGGTTTCAAATGAAGAGCCTAGAAAACCAGTTATGGTTTTAAAGAGGGTAATAACAGGGCACAGAAGCTCTATATTTAGCCATATAAGGAGTGCTGTCCAACAATCTTGCTACTGTATTTTTTCTCAGTATTTTGCTTTTAAAAATCTGTGGGTTTTTTATGCTTTTTTTTTTTCATGTCAAACGTTTTACTTTCTAATCTACTAGGTAGGACGATCAGCTGAAAGACAATGCATCTTTCCTTATCTTTTGAAAGCATTTTTTTCCCATCCTCTTTTTATCAACTTTTCTACAAACTTTTTATGACAATTTCGGTTCGGATCGTTATGTTTGCAAGATTTCATTTTTGTCCTCAAAATCATATTCTGTGTTAAAACAGCCATCAGATAGGATTTCTGATGCTGTTTCTCCTGTTACAGATACAAAGCAGTTTATGTCTTGAGTCAGATGTCATTGTTTATGTAGGGACTTCAAGGTCTAGTGGTCAGAGTTGGTTTTAAGTCAGGTATTTACACAAAGAAAGGGCATTTCCCACAAAGAAAAACTTAGAAAAGACAGCTGGATGTTCTTACTGCAAATTTCTCCATCTGTCAGTCTGTTAATGTTTCTACTCATCTATCCATCAGTGCATCCTTCCATTTATTTATGCAGTCACTCATCCATTTAGCCATCAGTTTGAACATCCTACCATCAATCCATCAAGCAAGGCTTTTATATTTTTGCTTATATTCTGCAAAAGTTTTTACTAAAAATAGAAAAGGCTCCTGATATCAGGCTCAGCTTATTACAGAGGCATGACTCACTGATCTGTTTAAACCTTATCAGAGTAAATTTCATCCATGTTTATCAAAGCTGCCCATGAATGTGACCCAAGATCCTTCCTCGGCCCCTCAGGGGCCACATTGGGTCTACGCACCCCAGACAATCTGATCGTCTTGTGCTCAACATCTTGTTCCTGGTTTTCTTTACTGCCTGATTCCTGTTAATTAGCAGTTTGTAAGTCTGGTTTATCTGAGGGAGCAGGGGGGTGCAAAAAAGGGGCCTGCAGTCATTCCTTTCCCACACCGAGCAAACTAGTTCAGGCTTTATTGAAATGCAGCTCTTTGTCCAGCAGAAATGTTCATCAATGACATGTTTGTTTTGCAAACCACAGTCCTTCTGTTGAGCCTAAATTAGCAAAGCCTTAATTGGACAGACCCAAAAGGGGCCACACATGTTTGAACTGAGCTTGGAGAGTTACAATGTCCTTTAGATGTCACAGTCTAACTTTCCAGGAAAAGAAGGATTCTTTGAAAAAAATATAAAATAAATAAACAGATGATTAAAAAGTGCATTTATTTGCTGATTAGCTAATTCTGAGTTCTATCTTTGTTTATTGTGTTTGAGGCCCTTTCAGGCATGTGTGAAAACTTTAGGTTAAGCAACACAAGAAATGTTATAGAAGGCTAAAGGTGCCTTGATTCAATGGATTAAATGTCAAATGACTTAGAAACAACATTAGAAATATTCATGAAAAATGTATGTTGAAGTTTTGAGTTTAAAATATTTTATTTAAATATTTAATTAAAAATAATGTTATTATTGTTCCCTCATTGATAAGATGTAAGGAAAGTAGTTAAACCTGCTCTAACCCAGGTTATTTCTTCTGTGTCTACAGACTCCAAAGGTTTGTCCAACCCGGTTGAGGTGGAGGCTTTGAGAGAGAAAGTCTACGCTTCTTTAGAGGCTTACTGCAAACAGAAATACCCCGAACAGCCGGGCAGGTGAGATTAAACCCAGTGAAGATGCCACAGGAGAAATATTGTCACCATAATTTGCCTTTCATCAAATCTTTATACAGCAGTGTACTTATCTACCATCATCTGTGTTCACTTACTCTGTATTGGGGTTAAAATTACAAAGTTACAAATATAAACCTATTGCTATTTTATATCTCATTTGATTATTAGAAAAAAAACAACAGAAGATACAAGTTTGATGCATTTTCAGAGTCGAACTTAGAGTGTTATCAGATGGGACAGCGATATTGAACCTATTAACAATCCTGTACATAACATGAACCAGTAGCATTAGGAAACCTATAAGCTCAGCCAACTCTGTTGTTACATGTTTTAATTTCCTTGTTATAATAGCAATTAAAAAAATATGTATCTACTCAAAAACATTAGGAAAGAAAGTTTTTACCTTGCCTGGAAGATACAGTTTTATAAAGACAGTTTTATGAAATTAATTTAACATTAAATATAAGATTTTTTCTAAAATAGTGTCTGAAATATTTAAAAGGTCTGACCTCCATCAAGATGAATGAAGTTAAAATTACAGCAGTGTGACACTCTGGACCTTTTGTAACTGTACATCTGAAGGGTAAAAATAACTTAGAATTAAACATATATTGTACATTTCTAAAACCTATACAGAGATTTGATAAAAAGTTATTATATTAACTTGACAATGCAGGATTAAAATTGTCGATGTTTCTACAAGCCATATAATTTAGGGTCTAAACAAGATGCCAAAATATATATGTAGCTTCGCTTGAGGGCAGAATGGAGCTCATCAGGAGCAGACGAGCCTGAAACATCAAGGGATGCCAAATCATTTTGTCCATCAATTTGCAATGTTTTCTTTTTTTCATGCCAATCCACCCAGTTTTAAGTTTAAAAGGAGTCTCTCTGAGGATTTCAACCTCAATTAGGCTTGTATCCAAGTCTAGAGACTCTAAAGAGATAAGAAAAAGTCATAAATGTTTACACAAGTTAACATTTTTTCTTGGCTGATAGAATTTAGATATCATCATGCATGGAGAACAGATATCAAATCTCCTAAAGATGGAACTCAGGCGGAACATGTGTGTAGGAAAAAAGCACAGATCCTAGAATGGAACCCTGTGGTACTAAACTAAGAACACATTTTCACTGTGTATCCAAGCCATTAACATGTTTTCTTTTTATTCTGCGTTGGGTCGTAACAGGTTTGCCAAGCTGTTGCTACGGTTACCAGCGCTGCGCTCCATCGGGCTCAAGTGTTTGGAGCACCTTTTCTTCTTCAAGCTCATCGGCGACACACCCATTGATACCTTCCTCATGGAGATGCTAGAAGCCCCTCATCAAATGACATAATGGGAGCGAGCACTCCTGGTCCTCAATCTCTTGAACCTCGCCCCACACTCAAGACCCCCGACATTCAACACCCCAGCTGACTTGGATTAGGAGCATCTCTCCAAAAAAGACAGTTTTAACAGAAACAGATTTCTCCATTCTTGTTTTAGTCCCTCCATCCATATTTTCTGTTGACCACCTCTGAAAATGAGGAATCCTTCATGGTTCTGGGTCCGTTTTATACCTTGTAAAATATATAAATAAGAAAAATATCTATATATATATATATATATAAAGAAAAAAAAAAGCAGTGTGTGACGAGATTGGACTAAAACGAAGACGAGAACACAAACATACTGAGCCATGGTCTTCGGCTCTGCTTGTCATGCCCCCCACACCCTCCCCGATCGATATTTTAACGGCCACAGAACCCAAGCTGATTATCACAACTCCAGATTCTATGGAACTCCTGGGATGTTTAATCTTGGATTTGAGCCTTTTATTGCTTTTCAAGACTGGAGAGTTTTTTGTTTTGGTTTGGTTTTTTTGGGGGGGGGCAACAACACATCAAGCAAAGAAACTTGTCTATTCAATCTGACTGAACACGTCAGCTCTTGCACTAGGTGTTTTGTTGTTTTTTTTTTAATTGGAAGAGTGATCTTGCCGGCGTAGAACTCAGAAGTGGCTTAACAAGCGTGCGAGAACTCCCAAACCTCAGGTCTCTGGCCAATTCCAACAGACCCGACCATGTCTTACTGTACCAGCACTGTGCAGCGTAAGGGAAGGATGTCTTAGCAGTCAACAAATCACCCTTTCCTGTTGTTAAAAAGAGTTGGAAGAACCTGCTCCGTACAATCTGTTGAACTCTGTGCCCATAAACTGTTGTAAATTAGCTTTATACGACATGAGCATCACTGGATGCTCCAGAAGGCCTCCAGCAGGTGCAGGGCCAACTCATCGCAATTTTTTGCAGGCATTTATTTGCCTAAACAGAGTCCCACATAATCTCTGAAATCTCTTTACATTTCATGCAAATTTCTGCCAAGCAGTGACAGCTCCATGCTCCGAAACCCCTCTGCTCATTGCAGCAAGCGTCTTTTTTTATTATTTTTTTTATTTTTATAAACACCTCATATCTACCTGTACTGAAAGCTACAACAGTATTGACCTTATTTTCAGCAATGCACAAATACCTCTGTTTCCATACCCTCATGTAGGCTTTGGAGAATACGGGAGAAGCGCTTGTTTGTTGTGGCAGAGCCATTCTTTGTTTGTTACTTGGCACTTAACCTGATGACGGTGTCGTTGGGTTTCTAAATGGAGAGCGGATGTTGATGTGATCGACCTCTGCGGTGCAGTTTGGCACTCTCCCGTTCCAGAACGCCTCAGTACTTCTCCTAAAAAGAACACACACATTCACTCTGTGCACTTCTCTGGACAAACCAAGTGACATTTAATTTGAACTGAAATGTTAAAAATAATTTTGTGTAAACGTGTTTCGTGTCTGTTTTTGTTTAGTTTTTTTTGTGTGAGTGTTTTCGCCCTTTTCTGCTTTTCTTTCTAAATGCTGCAGCTGCTGCAAAACTATGCATAGTGTACATTTCCAAAGACTGTCCACAAAGCGGCTTAACAAGAGTAAATGTTTGCAAGGCGGGCATCCCTGTTTTTCAGATATCGATAGTCATTTTTGCTCTGGGTCAATCATTTTCATACAAACTAGATTGGGAACGGAAACATTAGCTGATGAACTATTATTGAAATAATCAGATAATGGTGCTTTCCTTTTATAGTTGGAGTTCTAATAATCCAAGTTTGAGAAAAAATTGAAAGACAAATAGATCAGGCTTAAAATCCCAAACATGAAAGACTTTTACTATACTTAAATTAAAAGGATTTCTATTATTGAATCAGTCATCCATTTTAATACTGAGAAATAATTTGTTTTTGGCTTATTTTCTTTTAAGAAACCTGTTCTCAGACTGATACAGCAAAAGGACTTCATGAAAAATGGAACATAGTCCTTTAGTCGTAGTGCTTTTTTATGATGCATTCAGTTTCTAGAGTCAGTTGATTATTTAGGCTAATATCCATTTTGTCCCAGCTTTTGAGATAAATGGAATAAAGCATTGATTCTAAAACCGTTGGGATGAAATATGGCAACAACCACATCAAATTTAAAACAAACCAGGACATAGCTCTGTTTTTAAACCCTTAGATAAACATAGATTTTAAAAGCAACAACTGACGACCCTTTTGCCTTTAATTAAGATAGAAGGAAATTATTTCAACTATTGCCTTTCATTGCCTTTTTAAAAAAAATCATATATTTTCAGTAACACCTTTAAAAGAGTTCACCAATGGCAGCAGGGGCTTAAATCAGTTCTCTGCATTTCTGGTTAGTTAATATTCCAAATTATCTCCAGACACATTTTATGTTGACAATGTATCTGTGAAATGTCAAATGTGATTGAAAAAGAAAAAAGAAACATATACTGGATGCCCTGATTTACCTAAAGTGTAGTGAAGTGTGATGATTTGTGTACTGTGAGCTCCCTCTGGTGGAAGAGAAGCAGCGCTGCAACATTACTTGAAATAGTTTTCTAGTATTTAAACAGACAAACAGAAGGCACTTTGTCACAGCTTTCTCATTGTCACGGATGCTCTGCGTCAGGCAGAAAAGCAGGAGCTTTCCCCATCTAAAGACGAGAGAAGTAGCAATAACTTAAATTTAACCCATCAGCATGGTTGTTTATTACTAAAATGAACTTTAGCAAGGTGGTCTGTTCTTGCAACCTATCCAGGTGACAGTATTACCTGCCAGCTTGAGCTCTGTTTACAGTATTTATATATTTGGGAAAAAACCTATATTTGTTTCTCTGATGAAGAATACGCTTTGTCTTTTGTAGAGATTTGAAAACAAACACTTGTTTCCCCAACATTCAAAATGAACATTCTCATTTCTGGCTGAGTCAGAAATGAGAGTGCCATAACCCTAACCCTATTGAAGATTGCAAACAAGCCATAAAAAGCATACAATTTGCAAAAGTTAACAGTCCCTGTAGGAAAATGGCAACTGGAGAAGATAAGGAAATAATCGTCCACTTAGAATAAAACCCTAAACGAATGCTTTATAACATAAAGCTATATTTTGTTAATATGTATATGTGTATATATTTATAAATATATATCAGCAGATCTGCTCATTGAATATTTCAAAACTGAAAACAAGAAAAAAAAAATCAAAATTTCAAACTTTTCCTAATTTAGGGGAGTTTAATGCTGTTTTTATCACAAATATGGATGGGAGGGTTGGGTTGTAACTTTTATTAAAAAAAAAAAGATCCACCAGCAGCAGCTCTGAACTTAAAAGAAACCAGCTTAAGCCGTTTTCTGTGACCTCGAAAAATAAGGAGAGGCAAAAAATAAAAAATATCAACTTTAAACTCTCCAAAATGTAAATGTTGCTTAGCAAATGTATGTTGAAAATGTGTATTCAGGAAAAGCTGAGCTTACAACACAATCACTGCTTTGTTTGTTGCATAGACAGTCAAATGTTCTAGTTTGAAAAAAAATAAAAAAAAAAAACTTGGGGAAAAGATCTATTTTTGTACAAAGGTAATTTTATCCTCTGCTTATTTACTCTGTTGTTCTCCTTCTCCTCTGTGGGCTGTTTAATCGGTTGTGGAAAAAGCTTACTCAGTTTCAGGGGGAAAGTGTAACTTTGCGAGGAGGGAAGAATTGTCTGCTTTGGCACTTTGATAACTGTGTCGCCTTTTATTTTGCCATCTCAACCTGTCACCACAAGACGGGGAAATCTCTGATCGTCGCATTTTTATTTTCTGTCTTTAAGGAGACATTTATGTCACCTGTTGTTTGTTGGTTGTTTTTAATGTTCTATCTCATGGACAGAAAGAAAAAGTTATTAAAAAAATCTTCAAATTGATGAAAGTTGATTTTTTATGTCTCTATTATTTGAATTTAAATGACAGAAGTAACAGATGCAGAAGGAAAACCCGGACCCTTCAACTCCTCTACGGCCAAAGCTGCTCCCAGACCAGGAGGAATACATAGAGGTGGATTTCATCACAGTGATTTATCTGCAGCTTTTATGATACATGTTTCCCATTGCTAAATTTCTTAGAAAATTTAATTCCATAAGACAATCAATAGGGTATTTGCAAGATAGTTTTGGTCACCTTTCACAAAGAGGACAGGCTACAAAATCATTGCTGCAAATGTTCGATTTCAGAGAGTAATGGGAAATATGGTGAAAGGAAAAACTTGTAGGAAGAGTGCCCAGACAACACATTTTTTCTGCAATAAAAATCTATTTTTTGGTTAAAGTTATATAGGATGTTTTTTTCCAGGTGGATCATCTAAATAAGTGGTCCTCCTAATTGTCAACCATTCTGGTTATATGTTTACGTAAGGCCGTCCTACGTTCTCATACCCATTTTCACTTACCGGTGGCGAGACTAACAGTGGGAAATGTGCAAATCTTATTTTGGAAAGTAAGCTTGTATTAGCGATGCAAACAGCAACTTTTAAACAGAGCGTGCACAAGGAGAAATGGGCTTGTGCACGCTCTTGCACGCAATTAATAGGTGTCTCCTCTCTGGAGCAGGTATAGGGTTGTGCATGTGCTTTTTTTTTTTAAGTGGAGAGGGTGGGTCTTTCAAAAAAATTGCTAAGATCCTCCACTATACCTATACCTTCAAGTCATAAAATGACAGAATAAACAGATGGAAATAGATCACTTTGAGCAGTATCTCTAAACAAACCATATAGGATGATTTAACAGAGCTCTGTTTAACCTTCCATTTTTCTCCCTTCTCTAAGCAGAAATTATTTATAGGATTTTTTTAAATAGGGTTGATATAAGGTTGCTATTAAAAATAAAATAATTGGCATTCCTCTGAATATAATTGGTTTCAGTGGGAATATGAGTCAGCATCTACTGTAACTATGGAACCTGAACTGTGTTTGGACTGTTATGATTCAGTTGAGCTTTCAGAGTATCTAAAATTATTACCTTCACCTAAGCCTTCAATGTGAATGTAAATCCAGTATCAACAAATTTATTTAATGATGTACAGTTCAGTAGGCTGCACAGTGATGCAGTGGGTAGCACTGCTGCCTTTCAGCAAGAAAGGTTTTGGGTTCAGAATCGAACCCAGAACCTTTCTTGCTGCCCTGCATGCAGTTTGCATGTTCTCCCTGAGTATGCGTGGGTTCTCTCCAGGTACTCCGGCTTCCTCCCACAGTCCAAAGATATGATTGTTAGGTTAATTGGCTTCTCTAAATTGTCCTTAGGTGCGAGTGTGTGCGTGAATGGTTGTCTCTGTGTTGCCCTGCAATGGACTGGCAACCTGTCAAGGGTGTATCCCGCCTCTTGACCATTGAGAAATGCAGCAACACCCTTGCAACCCCAGCAGGAATAAGCATGACGGGAAATGGATGGATGCACAGTGCCTTGCAAAAGTATTCGGCCCTGTTGAACCTTTCGCCACATTTTCAGGCTTCATACATAAAGATATGAAATTGTAATTTTTTTTGTGAAGAATCAACAAGTGGGACTAAATCATGAAGTGGAAAGAAATGTTTTTACAAAATTACAAAACTTTTTTTGCAAATACAAAACTGAAGACAGGGGCGTGCAAATGAATGGGCTCCTTTACTTTCAGTGCATCAAACTTGACCTAAATGACTGATGATGATAAATAGAATACACCTGTGTACAATCAAGTCTCCGCATAAATGCATCTGCTTTCTGATAGTCTCAGAGGTCTGTAAAAAACTGCAGAGAAGACTATCATGAAGAACAAGGAACACACCAGGCAGGTCCGTGATACAGTTCTGGAGAAGTTTAAACTTGGAGTTGGATTTAGACGTCCCAAGGAGCACTGTGAAAGCAATAATACTGAAATTGGAGGAGAATAAAACCACTGCAAACCTACATAGACCTGGCTGTACCACTTAACGTTCAGCACAAACAAAGAAGACTGATCAGAGATGCAGCCAAGAGGCCCATGATCGTTCTGGGTGAACTGCAGAGATCTACAGCTGAGTTGGGAGAATCAGTCCAGGTAGGCTGGGTCCTTTTGAACACAGCGCCTGTCTCAAGAAAACCCCCAGGCTCAATGTTTATTCCTGTAAAAGTGAGTTTTTCCTCTCCACTGTCACTACATGCATGCATTGTGTGAGGGGTTGCTGTAGAGTGGATCAAATGTGATAACTCAATAGCTCTGAAATCAACTTTTTCTTAGCAAGATTTTACCCATCTGTGTGATCTGATAGCCTTTCTAAGGTGCCTAGTGATGGCATGTTGTGAATTGAGTTAACAGATGAAAAAAGGGCTTTGTAAAAAGTGAACTAACGAGTACTTTGAGGAGCAGAAACAAACACAACATGAAACATACAAAACTTTATTAGGTTGCAGATTATCTGGGAGCTGGAAACAAAGAATTTATTACAGAAACCAGGATGTTTGTTGTTTTCAAATCGACTAATCCAACAGAACATGACCCCCAAAAAGTTTTATATACAAATACAACAAAAAAAAAAATGTTTGCAGTTACATAAAAAAAAAAGATTTAAAATAAATTTAACACCAATTCTTATTTTGATGCCTTCTGAAAAAAGGAAAAAAAATATTGTGTGGCACACAGATCTGACAAATAGAGAAATATTGGTAACATCTTTTTTTCCATTTTATTAAGACTGAAGCTTAATGTAAATATCCCCTCTTCAAATAACTGGTACTTAACAGTCACAGACGAATTAAAAGGACAACAGGAATCGTACGAAGGCCCAGTAACTACAGTTTAACATTTATTGTACAGTAGCTGTTATGAAGCAGAGGCAAATGTAGAGTCAAAAATACTGAAAGTCGCTGTCAGTGTTCCTTTAACAGGATTAACTTTATTTTTTTCCCCAAGAGATGAATAAACGTGACGCACAACATTGGCTGTTTGGAAGATATTCACTGCAAAGCTGGTGTGTTGGTGGTTGGTGTTGCTACTCCTTACTCAATTTCAGGGACAGTTCTCTGCATCCATTAAGAGCTCCGTTAAAAAAGGTCCTCTTTTCTCGTGACACGATGTAGAAAAAAAAACAAAAAAAACATGTATATAGAAAGTTGAATAGCCCAAAAGTACTTCAGAAAAAGCCCCCAGGGAATTAGCAGTCGCTTTTCCATAGCTTGATGGTTTTGTCGTTTTCTAAAGCGGCAGAAGCGATGATGTTCTCTGTTGGGTGGCAGGCAGTGGAAATGACGACATCTGTGCAAAACCAGAAAAAAAATTTATAAGACCACAACATATATCAA